TATTATCTCAAAACCAATTTGTGGTCATTCCATCATTCAAGTTGGAGAATTTATTTTCTCTTTCCAATGGTCTTTTCAACTGGTTTGTGGATGACCAAGGTCAACGTGTCAGATATCTTCCTGCAATTCCCAATTGCCCCATCCTCCAGATGTTTTCTATGTTTGTCCATCATATTTGCATCTTCCAATTCCATGCTCTTCCCTTCGACATAGTGTTGGCCCCATATGTATTCAAATATCCAAGTCCTTTCTCATGCCCACACAGTATTTGATACATTTGGATGTTTTCTTCAACTCTTGTCTCAGTCAGGGTCAGCCTTTTTCTCTTCATCTGTGAGCCATGGAATGTCTGGTTACTGAGATTTGTATCTCAATCTCATCCTGCATGATAGGTTCTTTCATTTCTGGGGGCTCTGGCTTCCCTGGAACCCCTCATTCCTTTGGGGGTGTTTCTTTTCCAATGGATGTTGCAAGACCAAGGGATTCTTTCTTGGGTCCCATTGTCCTTGATTGTTTACCTCCCCTTTCCTTTACTTGAGGATTTAATATGGTGACTAGACTGTGCCAATCCTACATCCAGCATTCTCTTACCATCCTCCCAGACTAGATCTCTATCTCATCACTAGTGCTTCTCTATCAGGTTGGAGTGTATCTCTGAATGACAACATGGCTTCTGGCATTTGGACCCAGGATGCGAGTTCACTCCACATCAACGTGCTCGAACTTCTCCCTGTTCCTTGGGCATGTTCCCATTTCCTGTCTCTTCTGATGAATCACTAGGTCATGATCCACTCTGACAATTCTGTGATCGTTTCTAACATCAACTGTCTAGGGGGCACCCTTTCTGGGACTCTTTTCTTTCATGCATTGGACCTCCTCTTCTGGGCTCATTCCTATTGAATCTTTCTTGTTGCTTATCTTATGGTGGGATCTATGAACCTTGTCGTGGACTACCTCTCTCAGCCAGACCACATTCTGTTCTTAGTGTGGTCTCCACATCCAAATCTTTTGTTTGGTTTTCTCATGGACACCTTTGCCACTCCTCTCATCTCTAATCTTCCTCTCTTCTGGTCCCCTCTTCCTCATCCATTGGCTCTGTCTGTGAATGTTCTCAGCCAGGCCTGGCTTCAACTTTTTCTACATGCCTATCCTCTTATTCAACTTCTTTCTCACATCTTCATTTTGATATATGACACTCCTTGTCAAGTCCTCCTGGTGACACTTCTTTAGACATCTCAGCCTTGGTTTTCTATGCTTCTTTCCATAGTGTCCAGAGGCCCTCCCTCTATCTAATGTCCCCTCTCTGTTGCTTCAACTTCACATGCCCCTTTTTAATCAAGAGATATTGTACCTCCATCTTCACATGTCCAGTCCATCATCCATTGTGAATCATTCCTTTCTCTTATATGTTGTCTTTGAAACCTCCAACAACACAGTGAAAATACTATAACATTTCAGTATGATGTAGCAAAGTCAAAGCTGATGTTCATTTCTTGAAAATTCATGCCAAATGGCACATACGGTATTTTCACACCTTGTCATGTGTATATTGCATACATATACACTTTTTAGTAGTTTGTTCATGATGTTTGGAATGCACCCAGTCAGTGCCCACAATGTAGCCGACTAGACTAAGAGTATGTACCTACAGTACAAGCACTGCACATTTAGCATTCAGTTGGTTACAAACACTCTATATGGGCTTGGTCCCAAGGACCGACCATGTGACCATTTTTACTTGTATGCAGTTTTAATACTATAACTTTTAATACAGTATGTGTATCTTCATAAAATTTGGCAGAAGTTTAGTAAACATTACAATTCACTTGTACACAAAATCAGTTTTTTAATGAAATATTTGTACTAAAGATTTGTCCGTGAATATATCGAGTCATTATTATTAATTTTACCTAATCTAACCTTACCTAACATAAAGAGTTTTATGTTTTTACACATGAGTTATTTTTATAATAATAAATAAATAATACACAGGAAAATAAGGAATAAAGTACTTAACCAGATCTTGTTCTTTTTGCTGTCAACTGTCGATGACACTTAATCCTTCTTTTTTTATACTAATGGTAGTAATGCACTAAATAACGTTTACTTAATTAAATAATGCACCAAAGGACATAGAATAATAACATGCAAAAAGTAGACAATGTCCCATAAATATCACAGTTTTTCTGGCTTTCTAATTATGCTACAAGAGCTGTTACAAATTCATCCAAGCTAATCAATTTGTTTCCCATTGGAACGAAGCTTGTATTGAAAGAGAAGTTAACATTTTTCTGTACAGAAAACAACATAATATAATATGTCATTTAATAGATGAAAACCTTAGGTTTCTGCTGGTTAAAAATAATATTGTATTAAATGTAAGAGAGAACTATTAACAAATCCTGAAAGAGAGGATCTTGCAGGTGGGTGTGGCAAGAGGAGTCTCATTTTCTATTTGATGGCTCTGTAACCAAACAAGATTGAAGGCTATAACAATTATGGTTTGTCTGAGCAAAGATGATTTTATAGTGAGTAATTTACATTAAATTTTATACTTATTAGAGGGGTGGTGAATAGATTAGAGAAGAGGGGATGCCTATAGAAAAACTGTCATTTCTTACACTAGAGGAAATTCAGGATCTTTTTTAATACTGTCTTATAGAATTAAAACTTAACTTCTATATTATTAAAATATGGATTATTAACTTAGATATTATGCTATACTAATTGGTATAACATAAACAAAAAGCAATTTAATTAAATTTTGAATGTAACTCACTAAAAACCTTGTGAAATGCACAGTTAAGGATGCCTGTGATGAGAGGGGTAATTACTACCAAAAAGTCACTAGACATGTTTTCTTCAAAAAGCCAAGGAGACCACATTGTGAAGAGAGTGATGAGGTCTTACCCCAAAAAAAATTATTAGGTTAATTGGAAAAAATCCATTTTTGAAAACCTTGTTCAGTCGCAATATCTTCAAGACACTTTCTGCTCTGGTTAATTGATTGTTGTATTATTTTGTGACAGCTGAGGTGTTTGGTATTTCTTGCAGTTTTGAAGTTTTACTTTATATACCAGGAATTATTTTGTTCATGAAATGCTATATATGGTACAATTAAATATTAGAGTTAGAAGCTGAATGAAAATTTTATCAAAAACATACCTTTTACCACTTTTTCATTAGTGGATGTCTTTACAAAGAGTTAAGACTTTTAGTGCTGGATTTAGTTGCCATAATGTGTTAAAATGATGAATGGTAAAAAAAATGCTAAGCAATATTTGCTAATTACTAATCAAATTCAATGTTGATTAGCAGAAACTGCTAATCAAATCCACTAAACTATTTTATCCTTTGAGACTGTACCAATTCTATGGACTATCCTGGAAAAAGCTGACACCAGGGAAGTGACTGCTCATTTCTTTGACTTGCGCCATCTCTACCAAAAGACCTTTCCAATGTGAATCTCTCCTCTTCTTCAATGGAACATGGAAGATCCATGTCACTTACCAGTTCCTAGCTGCTGTGGTGGTGGACAATGGAGAATCCTCACCAGTTGGATTTAGCACAATACAGTGAGAAGTAGGGTAGTAGTGACACTGTCAGTGTAGTATTGGTAATCCCTAACACAACTAATGTGCCCTCCTCCTGCAACTAGAGTCTGTACAGTAGAGTTGAGGTGAACACAAGCTGCAAGATCTGATTGCACCCTAATCACACTACACATTTTGGCTCGCCAACCACTTGTGTGCAGGAGCTCAGGCTGGTCATGATTACATTCCACCAATCCATGTGACATTTAAGGCACTTTCACCTTTCCCTTCCTTTCATTTTTGGTTAAGAGTGTACCCTGGTTAAGATGAGATGCAGTCTCCCACGGGTGTGCCCCTTTGGAGCTCCTGACATTGTGTGTTACTCTCCATGGCTTTCCCTTAGGGCACTTTCTAAGGGAGTTCATCTAGGTAAAATTTTGCACCAGCCCTTCCACCTCTATAATGGGAGTTTCTAGCATTTCTGTGTGCAGAAGTGAGTTATCCCCTCAGAAATTTACATTTTCCTAATCTGAAAATGTATTTCTGATAGATACTCACCTGCCCTTTGCACTTCTGATGCCCTTTTTTTTTCTTGCCTCATCTAAGAATGAAGTTATCATGAGTGCAAGTGCATAGGGGAGTTACTGTACATGGAGGTTGTGTCACCCTCCTATTGGTGGAGGGCTATTATCGTATGATGATGTGATCATGCATTAGCAACTAAGCTCATTAATTTAGATAGGAATTAGCTCAAAGCTAATGGCATGCACATATCATAGGCAGATCACCTGTTGGTTCTTGCTCTTTGTAAAGTTGGTTGGTGATTTTTATGACTTGTATGTTGTTTTTTTACATTTCTTACACAATATCACTTGTTGGTTCTTGTTATTTGGAAGATTGGATGGTGGGTAATACAGAAAATGGAGTTGAGCATTGCTAATGAAGTGCAAATGAGGTATGTTTGTGCATAGTGGAAATTTACTGAGAATTTGAGCTGGTGGTTGTTGGGGGTGCTTGAAGGAAAAGAACTAATAGATTTAATAATAATAGATTTTATGTTATAATGATGTGCATCTATGATATAGAGAAAATATTTAAGCAAAATTTAAATTTTTTTATCTGTTTTATTAATATGTTTTTAATTTCTAGTCAAGCTTTTTCACAACATAATTTTTTTTAATTTGGGCATCATAAATTTTGTGTCCAAAAAATGGTAGCTGCTCCCAAATTGAGCCAGTATTACTCCCTAGTGATTTTAGTGACCAATTTGTTGATTTCTTTGTCTTGAAACATATCTAACAGCATGTGTTATTATTTACAATTTTGTGTAATATCAAGATAACCTATGGATATTTAGTTTTAATTAACTGTATGTTCTCGAATGTCGTTTACTTTTTTACTAAAACTGTAAGTGTAGAGCAATACTGATTTTTCTGTGATGATCATTACATTCACTTTTATGTATAGATGTCCTTCAGGATTGTACGACAGAGCAAATTTCGTCATGTTTTTGGACAGCCACTGAAAAGAGAGCAGTGCTACGACAACATCAGGATTACCAAGAACTCCTGGGATTCTAATTTTTGTGCTGTTAACCCAAAGTTTTTGGCAATTATTACGGAAATAGCAGGAGGAGGCGCATTTCTAGTGTTACCATTATTCAAAGTATGTTTTGTTACATCATATGATATTCTTAATAGTTTTGAATGTGATAACAAACTAATTACATCCCTAACTTAAGATGATGAAATTTAAAAGTAAAACAATTCTCTGGTAACAGAAAGGTTTTCATAAATATGCAAACACTACACATGTCCATGTATATTGAATGTAGCTTAAAGAATGATATTTTAGATAAAACACTCCTCAAAACAGTGGTTAGTATTTGAAAAAAAGGAGCATCAGAAAAACACAACATTTGCTTGATTTTACAATTTGAAAGAAATATCCATTGCAATAATTAACATGATTTTTTTAGCTTCTAAGTCAATGTCAATATTTATTTTTAGTACATAACATTGAAAATTTGTTTAAAACTGAAGATAGTGTGTGTTTTGTATATTTAAGTTGTCTCGGGTAACAAAATAAGTGCTGTAGCTCAAAATAATGTTATGTAATCACAGAGAGTGAGAGACCTTAACTCTATAAGAAACAAGTATAAAAGTGGTTTTATAACACTGTACCAGAAATTGATGATCACCTTTATTTTTGGATGCTCTTTTCAATCTTATGGCACAGTGGAAGTTACTGTAATGTGAGAGGGATTTATTACCACATCCATTTTAATGTGCAGTAGGACTCAAGATTAAGCACCTTCCACTATTTCAACTGTGGAAAAATGACAAAAATTGACTGCTCTGGTTCTTTTATTTTGTACATCAGGACTTTACACAAAAATAGAATGACTTTTCCAGGAAATCTAGTAATTTAATTTCTGTTAGGAAGTGTTCGTAATAAATGATGGTACCTGCAAAGCAGGATGGCAAGGCACTATGGGGCTTGAATTATTAATATAAGGTATACCATCTAAAGCCATCATGTAAAAAACTATACACCAGTGACATACTGGTAGTCTTCTCATCACTCAGGCTCAAAACCTTCTCATTAGTCACAAATTACATTCCACTTAGAGCATACTGGTATTAATACTTATTATAATTCTGTTAATGAGCTTTAGACATCGTCTGAGTGCAAGGTGATTTCCATGTTAAGAATAAAAATAGGTTTTTCATCATACAGTTTTCATATTCCATTTGCATAATCTACAGAGCTTCCTAAATGAATATTTAAAGTCTTTATTTCAGTGAGAGTTGATATTCTATTTCTTATTTTGTCATCCTAACAGTAACTGTAGTGAAACCATCATGATCAATGTATGGTGAAACGGAAAGTTGAAAAATATGAAATAAAATGTACAATAACTTCTTGCTTCCTCTTTTGATGCATAAATTAATATATCATAATCTACAGATATGTTGGTGCTAATACCTGTTGCATGTAAATAAAAGTTTTAGTTGACAAGTTGCTAATTAGTATGAAAGTTTTTGATTGAGAGTTATAGAAAATTATAAGCTTTTATGGAATACCGATAAATTTTATTTTGTACAATTTCTAAAGAGCATTGTAAACATACCACATTGTCTTACCTTAAAGGGCCAGAGTCTGACCTAGACTGACTCAGGAAATTCACAAACAAATATTTAGTTAAAATACTTTATTAAAAATTCTGATGTTTTATGTGCAACAGAGTTTTCATGTTTACAAAAAGAATGCCAAATATGATGAAGATACACGTAATAAAATCAGAACAACAGTAAATATAATTCTCCAATAAAGTATCGGTCTAATGGACCAACATGTGCACATAGAATTGAAATTTAGGACAAAGAGATGATGGTTTGGAATTAGCTGTATTTTTTTTTATACTTTCTTTTGTTGTTCATATTCCACTCTCATTCGAGAAGAATCTGTTCTTTTAGAAATATGCGTGGGACAATCTTTGATACTAAAGAAAAATGCTTGGCTGGCTTGGGATTAATGGTTGTTCTTCAACAACTGTAGATAGTAAGGACTACTGACCTGATTAAAAAACACTTTGAAATGGATGCTTATTACTGAACACTGATTGCTATTTTTAAAACTCATCCTTTTATTGTTAATAAATGCTGCTATATATTTAGATATTACCATTTCTTTATATTGGACAGATCTAAAAATATCGTTGCATAGCATTATGCGTGTACCAAAAATTTTGTTAAGTGTAGTTTTATTAGGAAATAAGATATTAATATGAATGTTATAGCATCTTCTCTTACTATTGTGATGTGATTCTTTAACGTATACTTTGCAGTTAAAGTTAAAGATGTCGAAGATGCATGATTTATAACCTGATAAAGAAGCTGAAGATGCATAATTTAGAATTTGTTAAAGGATGCTGAAGATGTACGGTTTAGAACCTGTTAAAAATGTTGAAGATACATGATTTAGAACTGGTCAAAGATGTTCAAGATGCATGATTTAGAACCTGTTAAATAATGTTGAAGATGCATGATTTATAACCTAATAAAGAAGCTGAAGATGCATGATTTAGAACCTGTTAAATAATGTTGAAGATGCACTATTTAGAACTGATAAAAATGTTGAAGATGCATGATTTAGAACTGATAAAAATGTTCAAGATGCATGATTTAGAACCTGTTAAAGATGTTCAAGATGCATGATTTAGAACCTGTTAAAGATGTTCAAGATGCATGATTTAGAACCTGTTAAAGGTGTTCATGATGCATGATTTAGAACCTGTTAAAGATGTTCATGATGCATGATTTAGAACCTGTTAAAGATGTTCATGATGCATGATTTAAAACTGGTTAAATATGCTGAAGATGCATGATTTAAAACTGGTTAAATATGCTGAAGATGCATGATTTAAAACTGGTTAAATATGCTGAAGATGCATGATTTAGAACCTGTTAAATATGTTAAAGGTGCATTATTTAGAACCTGTTAAATATGTTAAAGATGCATGATTTAGAACCTGTTAAATATGTTAAAGGTGCATGATTTAGAACCTGTTAAATATGCTGAAGATGAATGATTTAAAACTGGTTAAATATGCTGAAGATGCATGATTTAGAACCTGTTAAATATGTTGAAGATGCACCATTTAAAACCTGTTGAAGATGTTAGAGGTGCATGATTTAGAACCTGTTAAATATGTTAAAGGTGCATTATTTAGAACTTTAACTAAATCTTTTGCAATGAGGAAGGAAATATCTACATAATGGAACAATTTATAATGAGTTATGTAAGTTACTCATCCAAAAGATCTTGCATCTTACAGTATTGTGACACTGACTAGTACTGTATCTACTTAAATCTCTCAACAATGACATTTATTTTGCTGGTGCATGTCTGAAAATATGACAGTTACGTTTTGAGTATTAAATTTCATGTTTGTTCAAATATTTCTGTGTATGTACAAATTATAAGTACTCCAGACGACTCCTGTAGATGTAACTAACAAGAATGAAATACTGCATTAGTGAATGCAATGTGCATCTAAAATGAGAAGATTACAATTGTATTTCACCACTGTTTTTAAAGTGTAGTGTCTCCATGTTGTAAAACACAGTGCAGTATATCTGGGTTGCCTGGAAATTACAGTTCTAATTATCATGTTAAATTTATTTTCACTGAATTATCTGAAACAACTTCAGATTGTTGTGAAGAGAGAGAGTTCATGTTTATGTGTATTTTTTCTGTGTTTGACTGTTGTTCCTGTGATCCTGCAAGGTTTATTAATTTGAGACAAAATGACTAGCCGAGTTTGGTGGTTTCTTTCACAACCTAATTCTGTATATTAATGTTATTTTTGGAAGTCTTCAACTATAGGTGGTGATGAGTTTTGGGCTGTTTGCCAGGCCATTGGCTTCTCTTGTTGCATGTTCCTGTGCTGGGCAGGTTAGCTCGGAAGTCAATGTTCTTGTTTCTTATGTAACAGCTGCAATTCCTCATTTAGACTAAGCACTCTGTAACTAAGGAAAGCACAGTCTGTGGCACTAAGTCAGTCAACAGTCCATTTTAATGTAGAACTGTTTTTATACATGGTTGTTAAAAATGTCATTTTGTTCAGGTTAAAGTGAAGATGATGTAAACTGCACTGTAGTATTAGATTTCTTTCTGAAGATGAAATACCTGGGGTACATTTTTTTATAGATAAATTGCAAATTTGGATTTATTTAATATGAAAGAAAATTTAACAAGATGTTATTTTGTTTCATTAGGTCGCACAATGATGTTACATAGAACCATATGGCACTTTTCTCTACTGCTGGTAATAATACTTTATTCCGTCATGGAAATTTGGTTATTTTGTGCCAAAGATTAGTAATAAGTGTTACGTTACTATGCTCTTAGGCTTAAGTGTTAGCACTTGTAAGCTTTTTTTGCAAATAGGTGCTCATGACCTTAGCTTATTAAATTCTGTAAGTATGTAATATACAAAATAATTATAGCCTGAAAAATGGTGCTTTGTTGAGGTTAAATGTTCCGTTTCACCTCAGTTTTGAGGTGAATAATTAAATGGTTAATGTTGTATACAACATAACATTTAAGAACAACATCCCATCCACTAAACTAAATGTCCCCTGGGGGGAAAGCAATAAGTCTTTGGATTTACAATGCTAAAATCAGGGGTTTGATTCTCCTCAGTGGACACAGCAGATAGGCAGATGTGGCTTTGCTATAACCAAAATATGCATTAAACTTAAAGAAAGAATTACAAACCAACCTTTATCTTTCAAATATTTATCAAGCTTCCCATAAGTTCACTGCATTTCTTACCTGAAGATTACTCCTACCGAACCAAAATCCGTACTTTTGTCCCCTAACCTTATCACTCTCACCTTTAAGTATTAGAAACAATGATGCATTGACACTATAAATTCCCATAATAATATTAAACACTTCAATCAGGTCCCCCCCACTAACTCTTATTAATTAAATACAATTATAAGAAGTAAAATGGGGTTTGTTTGTTTGAAGACAGTCCCCAAGTAGTGACAGACATGTTTCAAATTATTCTAGGTAGACACGAGTCCAAATGTCGTGACTGGGAGGAAATAATATTGTGGGAGACAATTTTTTAGTTTGCATGTAATTCAACAACTTTATTTTAGACCTAGTACATGTTGATTGTATATTTACTAGATATTAAAACTTATTATCAAAACTACTTTTGTTTGGTGAAGAACTAAAAATTGATTTTGGGGATTCATTAATGCATTATTTGTATAAAATACTCGTGCTTTGGTATGGGGTTCTAAGGCCCCCCCCCTCATGATTTACAAAGACAGTGTGTACAGATCAAGCTTTTCCACTATCCCCAGTTGTTTCTATAGCTATCTCCTCCCGGAAATAAAAAAAAACTGTTATGACACCTGCCCAAAGTAACTATACATGTATACTAAGTTTTGTCTCTCTAGTTTGTGAGTAAAATGACTTTCCAGGCATGTTTTAGTACCACTTGGTTCGTTCTTAGTGGGAGACCACACCACATAGATAAAGACATCCAGGTGTTAAGTTCAAAACTGTGGAAGGAATTAATTAGACAAAGATACGTACAAACAAAACTACAAGCTGAATTAATATGGAATTGTACAAAGTATTTTTAGAAGCTACATTTTGTAATGAACTGCCAATTTGTAAAATTAATTTTGATTTTGAACTTTCTGTTGTATTAGGATACTTTAAGTTACTACATTGTATCTTCAAGCAATGCTTTTTAGTTGACAAATGTTGACAGAAACCACTCAGTTCATGTGGAAACATTACATTTGATTGTTAATTTTGTTTTTCTCACGACATGACCTCAGTTATAACCTCTTTTTCATTTAGGTAATAGACTTGACTGTTCAAGAGTGCTAGAAAAGAGGTTAAGTTGGGCCATCAGTAGAATTATTAGGGTTCCAACCTTGCATTTAATGGTTACCACTGCTGTCATTGCCCTGACAGTGGTGAACTGTACATCAACTAGTTACCTACAAAGTTGGTTTCAGTATGAATAATTATGATGTAACCTTCCAGCTGGCCTAATATGCCCAGGTATTTGGCGGAAGGTTTCTTTGGCACGGGATGTAGTGTGAGTGATATATTGTAACATATGAGTGAAAGCAAAGAAGAATATGTTTTAGAGTTAAATTTTTAAAGAAAATATTTTATTTTTGTGTATTTAAATGAACCTTGTGTAATTTAGAGCTGGATCCAAAAAATGTATGGCACACCAGAATTATCGGGGGAGTGTAACTGCACACCCTAGTGTCTGACACTGCCCTAAAGTTTTTCAAAGTATTCCAAAAGTGAATTTTTTTTTCCATAGTGACTGGAATGTATGCTGGTAGAGGGAACCACCTACCATTATGTTTTAAAGAACTGTAATCACAGGTGCTATGCCATAATTAGTCTCTTCCACCCTATATTTTGGTTTCATTTAAACCTTTCAAACTCCACCTCTTACACACCGCATCTTTACAAAAGTGTATTATGCCACACCTTCAGTCTAGATCCATGTAAGGAGCTGTACTGTGATATCCTTTTCACTTCTGCACTTTAGTTGCTTCAAACCTTATTTATTAAAGTAAAGGTCGCTGCCTTTTCAGCTTACAGAGGTGGTAAAACCTAGGTTTTACCATATATAAGCACATGTACATACAGACATAGATATGTATGAACAGATTTAAAGATAATTGAAACAGACCAGGAGTATCCTCTGTCTGGTTGTCCACATCTGTAAATTTAAACTCATTAGTCCTGTTATTTTCTAGTGGTAGGATTTGTATTAAAAGAAACTACAAAATGCTGTCCTGGTTATCGTACTTTCATTCACTGTCTTGCCCCTAGGATATTTGAGTGCTTATTTAATATCAAAACTTTGTCAAGAACTTTTATTAGATATTTAACTTGTTTTATATTATTCTTTATTCTTTGAAGACATATTATACATTGGAAAACCTTACCATTCTTTTATTCTATGTATAGTTTTAACTTTCATTAATAATACTGTAGTAATTGAAAGATAAACCTAGCACATTGTTACCTACAATGGTATAGTGATTTATAGTGTTGAATGAGAGGCACGACAAAGTGTTAAAGTTAAAAATAAAACAGTTTGCTTGTTGAAGGATTAGAGATAGCAGGTTGACCAGATGGTAGCAGGACTACTTAGCTGTAGATGAATTGTGAACAAACACACAACACACACATATATGTGATTGACAGAACTTCAAGCACAAATCTTAAAAGTCAGGGCAAGTGTGCCTCCAAACTGCATTCAGTTTCTCCTTCTTCCAAAAATGGAATCGCCAGAATCTAGAAGTGTCTATGCTCCAATGGAAAGTTACAAAGCAGGCGTAAGGTAGTGTAAGATGTAGCTATCCTGTTGAACATTAGACAACGTCTGCAATCAGACTCTGCTACACTGAGTAACATGTTGACTGTATTTAGTAAATGTTGACTGTATTTAGTAAATGTTGACTGTATTTAGTAGGTTCCAACTTAACTTAAGAGAAAAAATTAAAAACTTTGTACACATGAAACATATTTTATGGGAGAGAGTGATATTTATTATTTACATGCTACAATATTAAGTTACTTTGGTCTGCATGCCTTGGACCTCATGGCTCAAATAAAAATGAGTTGCAAACATTAAAGAAAAAAGTTACTAATTATATGTGTAACAATACAGACTTACTGTTACTAATTATACATGTAACAATACAGACTCACAGTGTTAGTAATTATACACGTAACAATGCAAACTGACACTGTTACTAATTATACATGTAACAATGCAAACTGACACTGTTACTAATTATACATGTAACTGCAAACTGACACTGTTACTAATTATACATGTAACTGCAAACTGATACTGTTACTAGTTATACATGTAACTGCAAACTAACACTGTTACTAATTATACATGTAACAATACAGACTCACAGTGTTACTAATTATACATGTAACAATGCAAACTGACAGCGTTACTAATTATACATGTAACAGTGCAAACTGACAGTGTTATTAATTATTCATGTAACAATGCAAACTGACAGCGTTACTAATTATTCATGTAACAATGCAAACTGACAGTGTTACTAATTGTACATGTAACAATGCAAACTGACACTGGTACTAGTTATACATGTAACAATGCAAACTGACATTGGTACTAATTATACATGTAACAATGCAAACTGACACTGGTACTAATTATACATGTAACAATGCAAACTGACACTGGTACTAATTATACATGTAACAATGCAAACTGACACTGTTACTAATTATACATGTAACAATGCAAACTGACACTGGTACTAGTTATACATGTAACAATGCAAACTGACACTGTTACTAATTATACATGTAACAATGCAAACTGACACTGGTACTAATTATACATGTAACAATGCAAACTGACACTGTCACTAATTATACATGTAACAATGCAAACTGACACTGTCACTAATTATACATGTATCAATTCAAATTGACAGTGTTACTAATTATACATGTAACAATGCAAACTGACACTGTCACTAATTATGCATGTAACAATGCAAACTGACACTGTCACTAATTATACATGTAACAATACAGACTGACACTGGTACTAATTACACATGTAACAATGCAAACTGACACTGGTACTAATTATACATGGAACAATGCAAACT